GTACCGATCGTTCAAATTTAGAAAAACCAAGGGGTCGTGTGCAATCATAAGTAATTCGCCATTCTAGTTGATACTTTCCGATAGACAAAATTAACGTAACATCGAGGGCAGTCGAAATCGAACAGGAAATAGATGTAATGTCTGAACTTCTGTCATTTTTTCCTAGGATCTCAGTTTTGATGATCTGCCTAATGAACTGTGCCAAAGTGAGCCGCGATACATCTTGGTCAGCTATGAATTTCATCATGATGACGGCCGCGTATCTTATCCGTACTGCCTTATTTTCTCAAGTCCAAGAGGTATGCCCATGGCAACCTTGCTCATATCTTGGTTCTTTTTTGGGTTTATTTCCTGAATTTGGTGCTGCCTCAGATCAGGTGAATTTACGTTGGAAAATAAGGTAATAACTGGTATTTATCGTTGAGTTTCGAATGTGCGTTAACTTTAACGCTCCTATCTCCACCTTCTGAGTTTGTCCAAACTCAAGTTTCTGATCAATGAAAATTTTGGACGCCAACTCATAAAATGTGGGAGGACTGTGTCACATGGACGTGGGTCACTTTTGCTCTGGTTGATGAAATTTCTGTTTGCTTTGAAATGTATTGATAGTGGTGAATAGATAACAAAGCTATATCTTCGTCCTCAAATTTTGTTAGAAATTAATAAACCCTATCCTGCTCCTTAATAATGCTTTTCAAATTGCGTCTGCGGGTAGAACTCATTGACAAAGCTATAGACGTTTTTCTCGTATTCTGATGGCTAAAGACTGATTAACGCTTTCTTTTTCAGGCAGTTCATCTAACCTCAAGATGCTCTATGCCGGATCTCTCCGCCACTTCGCTGACGCAAGCCAGGTTACCAGGGTGGGTTGCGCCGCATCGGTATTTCTTAATTGTTGTCAGTCCATTCCAATTCAAGTGACCGCCTTGTTTCTTTAACGTTTTAAAACTCGAGTTTACCGTTTCGGCTACCTTGAGAGGTTGCTGATTTTGCAACTATTAGCAGGACAGTAGCCCGTCGCAAAGAGGACTGAAGTGTGGTTAGCACTGAACCTCCAATCTGTGACGCGCATCACGTACTGCGCACCTACAAGCCACCACAGAAGGATTACGTCCCCCATATTTTAGCCGTTAGCTACTGCTCAGCTTGCGTGTTCACGCACAGTTCAACACTAACCCGACCCTTTGCCCTCTTTCATAGGTATATGAACTGCAAGATGTCGATGACTTTACTGAAGACTGGCTCAGGGCCGAGATAAAACTGAAGCAATATTAGCAACGCTTACTTTCGTACGGGCTTTCCACCTGCCTTGATTTGCTTATTGTGTGAATTTCGTTAAGTTACCTTACCTTCCCTACGTATCGTAATACTTTGGTAACTCACTTGAATATCAACAAGGGATAATTCCACTGTGCCAATCCTTTCTTATCATACGTTCACTTTGCCGCAATAGCAATTCTACCCTCCGCACTGAATTAGATTGGATGGTCATTTGGACTTTGAATACTTGTCTATTCCTGTATCGGCGCTAGTTGGTGTGAGGCCGCGTAAGCGGACGGGTCGCGCGTTTAAGTGTGTGCTAGAAAAAGGATCCGGGGCATGAGTTGGAGTTACTTCAAGCGTTTATGCATAAGGGTGGGGGCGTGTCCACACGCCATCGTGCGCCTGCCGTCTGCTTCAAAGTAGGTTTGACAAGCCCGACTGCTTTTAAGGGTCAGGGTCGCGCACGATCACCCGAGGTGAGTCATCCCACATAGATGTAGGTGTGGGCGCGACTCCTGCCGCTATTTATTTCCCTACGCAATGCTAGGAATAGCCGCTGCTTTTTAATTCCTGGTCTGCATATCCCGTGCAAGTTACTAGCCATCAGGGAAAAGCAGTCATGTATGTACATGTATGTCACTTTAAAGACCCCGGAGGGCGAGTCTCCGTGCCTTCACCTTGGCGGCCATTTGGGACATTTCCTGCGGAGTCATACGCCTTGGAGCCCTAGGTGGTTTGCCCACGCTTGTCGTTATGCCAAAGAGACGCTGATTAACGAAGTCATCGGCACGTCGGCGGATAGCATTCGCAGTGTCCTGTCCACTGAGAATGATGACACGTGGTGCAGTGGAGCACTTCTTGTGATAGCGTCGGCCACCACGTCGACGTCGCTTCTTGTTACAGTCGGAATTTGTAACCCCTGGTGCTTCAGATGAGCCGATATCCTGCTTCTTCTTAAAAGCCATTTTCTTACCTTGCTTGTCACTGTCGGAGCAACTTTCCTCTGGGTCTGAAATGCAAGCACACACCTATGAAACGCGGTGCGATACTTTACTTAACTTTGAATTAAAAAGCTATTAAATTTTCCGATGTTTGAAACCAAAAAAGCAGTGTTACCCGATCAAGAAGAAGAACCTTTTAAAATAAACTCAACAACTAATCACACTGTTAAAATTTTAAACATGGGGAACTTTTTCGGTTAATAAAAATGCGAATTCATAAATCGTAGGCTATTAGTTCTAAGACCAAGCAAGTCAACCACAATATTGGATTAAAGAGCCTTACCTTTACCGAACCCGCCTTCCAATATAGCATTTCCCAATTCCTCTTCTTCAAAATCCAAATCGACATCATTTTCATCCAAGTAGCTTATGTCCTCAGCATCTTCTTTTAGGAGGTTTTTGGGAAGGTACTTCCGAAAATCAAATGTATCCGCCAGTCTAAACTCATCTTCGTTGTCAGCGGTCTTGGTAACGCGGCACCTCCTAGTCTTAGGTTTGCTCAACGCCAACTCAGGCAGTGGGTTGTCAGCTTCAAGCTTTGCGTCACCACACTTGTCACGATTTTCTTCAGCCTGTCGAAGCTCAGTCGTTTCTTCCATGTTGCAAGCAGGTGTGGGATGCCGTCCTGGATTTTCTGCTTTCTGTCTGGCCCTTCGCTTTGCTCTGGTCTTCTCTTTTGTGATCTGAATAAAAGCATTAGCTTCTTTTTCGGATTTTGCCCTCTGCACCGCCTGAGCCTTGAATGTCAATGCCACGGGTGCGTCATAATCGAAGGCAGACACAATCCCCTGATTTCCGCCCTCCGCATCCATTTTGCCTCCAAACTACAGAGTGGAGTAACGAGGTAAAGTTAATGCAACAATCGTCTACAAATTGCATCGTTACGAGATGTACTGTGCAGTCGAAGAGGTATATGTATGAATAATTTCACTTGGTGGTAAGAAAATATGGGGTAGCCCAAGACCTCCTTGAAGACATAAGAAGTCATAATTCTAGGCCAAGGGATGTATTGCTGATGTACAGTAGGGCTTGAGGTAACAGGCATGGCCCGGAGGCCAGGACACCCGGCAGAGGAACAATGGCAAAGCCCCAAATTGACTTGTTACCAAAACCGGGAGTTAGACAAAAAATTAACGTAGTACACAAACCCTCGCATCTTTTAAGCATCATCTCCAAAGTTCCACTTGGTCAACTTCCCGCATAAGGCACCACAACGTAAGCATTGCTGCAAGAAAAATCCACGGTCCAACCGCGAGTGTCATCGAATTCCCATGCAACTAAGGTGATACTCTACCGCAATAACACTGACCCCTCCTGGCACTTCAACTGGATCTAGAGTTCCGACCTGTTTAAGAAATGCTTTGGGGAGAAGGGGAATTGCGCTGGCTATCATGCGTACCCGTCGCCAGTCGTAAGAACACTGGCCCAAAAGCAGAGTCTTGTGATGGGGACGGAGTTTATGATAATTCCTTGTCACTTTGTCCACATTTCAGTGCTGCCCAGCCATATCCATCAGACTTCTATCCAGCTAGTAGAGAGATGGAGGAGGTGTCGTGTGCTCACTTAATTGACATCTTCGTAGAGGTCCCGTTGAAAGCTCAGTAACAAACTTTTCAAGATAGTTCAGAATCACGGCCGGTGCCGCCACAGTTGTTAATAGCAAACCTGCAGAACGCAGAACCTGGTGATTGACTAAAGGTAGACATTCTAGCCCCTCAGGTAGGAGTATTCGCAGATTCTCCCATCCGCAGCAATATGAATTTCTTCCGCCCCACTAAGGGTTATCACTTAGTGGTAGCAATCATGAGAGGCGTTAAGGCAGTGCCACCAATGCAGCGCGCCAAGACTTCCCTGAAGACGAAAGAAGGCATGACACTCAGGCAGAATACGTACTGTCGACGCACCGAAGGTCTTGGGTTCCACGGGTGCGACTCGCAGGCCAGGCCACTCAGTAGAGGCACAATGACGGACCTCGTAATTAACCCGTTAGCAAAAAAAAGAGTTAAACAGACAGCTAGCGCACCACAGCATATGACTACGGAAAGGAGCTATCTAAATATTCGCGAATGGATGAGAATCAAATGAAAGCACGATGACTTTATTGACGAAAAAACTCAATAACGCCCCACGGTGGAGGACCACACCACCGAATTTGGTGCTCAGTAAGACACGCAATACGACCTCCGTTGACTTAAAGTAGCTGCACCAAAACATTATGTTGATAATCTACTACTGAAAAGGCATCGATAAGCGCATCATAAACTGTAACAAACAGTCTTTTATTTTCAGTCACAATAATCACAAGATTTGCAAGATATTACGTCGAATAGAATTAGTGCGAATTACTTCAATGTAATATTTTCATAAATGAAATCATGGCCGCATGTGATCCATTGACTGGTTCGCCTTTATGCCTTTACCAGGAAAGTAATCTTTTGCTATTGGTCTCTATCTTGGTTATTAGTTTGGAATGATTGAATATCCAATCCTATCTTAATCTAGTTTTGTTTTTCAATTAATGTTTTACAACTGCTGTGTTCACAAAGTGTGCTATCCTCGGGCAAATATCTGACAGATGATTTAGTATCGTTGGAATTTTCCGCGTTAAAGGAGTGATACATTTTTATGTCTTTTAATTTCAATGAGAATTTTTTGAATATAAAACCTAGTATTTTTAAAGTTAGCCACCCGAGTATCACTCCGTGTCAGCTGCATTCCGAGTTGTTATATCTCATATCTGAAAAAAACAAGAGGGTAATTCCAAAAGCTTTTGCATTTTGTAATGTGAATGTTGATTATAACGTATTTTGTACTTAGTTTCTGACACTTTTTTATTCAAGGATTTCTAAACATAAAAAGATTGCTAGCACTGGATAAACTTGATGCCAATCTTTGTAACCTCGTCTGCATATATCGGGTGACGTTCATTGATCAATGTCTGTGCCTAGGCAAAAGCCCAAATTATGGCTTGAGGAGGTGCGATTGATTTTGGTCGTGGATTTGTTTAGTCTTCTTCAGATGATCTTGACTCTAAACTTATAAGACAAAGGATGGGCATGACTGTGTCAGATTTTCTCGCTGCACTCGGCGGTAGCACGCCTCGTGGGGGTGCTGACTTGAAGTGTAGGGTGTGGCCAAAACACTCAGTGAATGGTAACCATATTTAATACTACTATTGACTTCTAGAGTTTCGTGACCCAATTTTCACTACGTGTTCCAAGAACTCCTCGGAAACTGACTGGTCCATACGGTACAAGGCGTTGGGTTGCTATGAGTAGGTCCGGTGTCATTTTCTATTGTAAATTTAGTCGAGACAATGCAACTGCTCCATCGTCCGAGAGTGGATCTAACGCCGTGGATACTCGTCTACCCAACGATTTGTCTAGTGAAGCTCGGTTGCGTGAGGATAAAATTACACCAGCTCAGCAAAAAGAGTAAACTGATAGTTGAATTGTGCTTTTTAAACAACTTGGTAGCTTTTTAATTTCCTTCCGCAAGTATTCTTGGGTCTTGATGTCAAATCTCATCCGCTTCACTTTAGGCTCATTGAAACCCTTCAACTTTCGGACAGTGATGAAGAAAACAATGCTGACGACAAACGGTCATCACCTCGGGAGAAGTCGAGGCCTACTACATCGAAGCGGAATGTCATTGCTCATAATTCATCCAGCTACGTGGAAGAGAGGCTTCTCAACTTGCCACAACTTATATCGCCTCTCCCCTCTGGAAATATAGCATTGAAGGTATCAGCTTCGCCGAGTTCTTTGAGGTAAATTATCACTGGTAGTTATTTAATGCTTTTTAGTTGCAAAATATACCTTTTCCCTTGGTGTGCACTCAATTTCATGCATTGCGTTGTTATATTTTCTAGATTTGGATGCTCGCAAATGTTTGGTCGATCTTGATCTTTAATATTTTGGGTTGTTTTGGCATAATTTACGTGCATCGCTAATTTCCTTGTAGACAAAATACCCGCAATCTTAATGCGAATGGTTTGGATAAATTGAAGCCTCGGAAAGGTACCCTCGAATCCGGCGTTCGACCAGAAAATCTCCAGAAGCCGAGCGTCTATTCACCGCTAGCTGTTCGTATAACTGAAGGCAATGCTGGTTCTAGTCATAATCAATACTCAGCGGACGCTATTAGTGTTCTGACATCTTTACCTGTCCAGCGCTTGAGCAACCAGGAGAATGTTCCGTCGGTAGAAAAACAAGTGGGATCATCCGAACTGTTTGTGCGACGAGTTTTAGCGGATGCAGAGGCATTTTGCAAACCGCTTCAACATTTACCGAGTAATCTTCGCGGTGATTGTAAAGAATCATCCGAGGAAGGTGATGCACGTGACACTTCATTGTGCCTCAGTTACGACAAACGAATATCTAGCTTGCCAAAGCCATTCTCTCTTAAAATAGTGTCTCCATTGTCCGAAACTTACATTAGCTTAGGACAATCCGTTGATGAAACACTACCGTCGCCTCCAAAACGGCTGCTCCTCTCAAAGGATTTAGAGACCTCTGTACCCTTGGTTTCTCTTGCTAGAGAGCAACCATCCAACCCACGAAAGGATGAAGCCATTGAGGAACTCAAATTTGCACACAATTCCTCGTGGATTTTATCATCCGTCGGAACAGTTGAATTGCGATCACGTCTTCTCTCTATCCTTCCGGTCTCTTCCAAGAGCTCCTCTTCGTGTTTGGATAAGTTGGCTTCTCTACGTTTCCTGCTAAGAAGTCTTCGAATGACCAATTCGGATTCGCACAGTGTGACGACACGAAGGCTAACTGGTGTTTTGTTGGCCCCTGCCACTCCTAACCCAACTCCTCGATTTGTCGAAATAGGTACAGGAGTAACGCCTAAGCGAACCACAGTTTTTGCCACTCAATATGAATCAAAAAGGCTGGTGAATTCTGCCGCGCAAACATCTCCTCGAACACAGGCTTCCGCCTTCACCAACACAAGCCCATCTCAATTAACATCGAGACGGATATCGGTTTCTATTAACACTGAACCGCTTCGTCCCGGTGCAATGGAAAACGGTTTCTCGGATGACTATTCTGCCGACTACTGTCTCAAGAAAGTGCTTGGTAGTAACGATGCCGTGATGGAGCGTACAACTCGAAGGTTCGTTTGCTCTCGTTGTATTGGATATTCTTTATCCTCTCTTGATGGGGTATTTGACTACAAATCGGTTTAAAGCACCATTTTTTACTGTTTTAAAGTCAACTCGATAACGTCTATGTACAAGGGCATAGTGTGGTTCGTATTTTTTTAACTAGTGATGGGTTTAGTCATTATCTTGTTCACTTTTGTATCAAATTTTGGTATTTATTTATTGCTCGCTCCTATCACACGAACTTAGTCCAGATTTTAAGATTTTAATAGAAATGAGTTCCGTTCATGGAACTTTCCTCATTATAAAGCGGTAAACGACATTCGTTTCTGACGGTGTAATTTGTATTTCAACACCAGTTATACTGATAATTTATTAGAGAATCAAACCTCATATTTCAAACGGCCATCCCTTTTTAGTTTTTTACATCTTGAAAAGGTTTTTTTCTAGTTTTGAGGATAGTACAGAAGAAGAGCAGTTGACTCAAGCAAGCAATTTGGACACCGAAGCCGCAACCTGCTGGAGCAAGTTGGTAAAGTTTGTGGCAGCCACCTCTTCTTCATCCTCTTCCTCTGGCAGCTCCATGCGACCCTTCGTTTGTTCCTGCGCGCCGGACACACAGCGTCTTATTCACAGCCTCTTTAGCCAGACTGACTTCACCTCTTATCCTGAGAAAATTTTGGCCTCCACTCGCCACCTCCTTGTCGCGGCACTCATGGCTACCTCGATGCTGGACGCGAAGCGTCGCTATGAGCAGGCCCTGGAAAGTCTGGCCAAGACAGCCTCTCGGATGCGACGGGCGGAATCTAAGCTCCTTCGCCGTGCTTGGGTTGCTACCCAGCGTAGTGGTGGTGTTGATTTGCCTATCACCGGCGTCGCAGACCTTGGCGGTGATGCCAAACGCTGGTCTGACCTCTGGTACTCGGCTCTCGCGCGAGTGAGAGCCGTTGTCAGTGAAAAGTTCCATCAGCTTATCGCGGACAAGGAACAAGAACTGCGCAAAAGGGTGAGCGCCAGCCACTGATTTAGCCACGTGTCTACCATTGACACACTGCTTTGTTATCATGAAAATTTGAACCTGAAGAAATCGTGAAACCATGTATAAAGACACGTGTGTAATCCGCCTTGATTGGCGCATGCGGTGGCACATTTTGTAAGCGCGCACGTATATCACCACCGATTTTGCTGTGACATTACGCATGTGACCGCACGAGTGTATGTAACCTGGCGTTGAAGGTGGTGCCTTCTGGCTGCTGTCATTGCCGCTGTATCGCCTACTACTTGTCCTCCCTATTCACGCACGTTTGCGTATGGAATTTGTTGCAGTAATGCTTTTGCAGAACCAGGTGTGTATGTGCTGGTTTTCGCGCGTACATGTGCTTGGTGGTGGCAAATGCAGTTGCAACACTGTCCTCTTCCTACCACGAGTGCACGTGGGTACCTCAATTTATTCCTTTCCCTTTGAAGAACGCATCTATTGATCTGGTTAACCTTAGACTTTCCTTGCTTGAATCAATTAAGACTGTTCGAATTATCATTTGGAGTTTACAACACTGCATACGGGTTAGAACCAGTTGCCATAACTTCGTGTGAACAACCGCCATGTTCTGAGTTCTGTTGGTCGTTTTTACCTATTCAGCTCTCCTTTATAGACATTGCTTGGGTACTATTGAGGCAGGTGCCAGACTTAATCTTGGTAGTTTTCCTTCTCACATGTCTCCAGTGTGCATGCATGGGCGGTGTAAATAAAACAAGAGGAGTCGATCAGATACAGTTGTCTCAGACGCTTAATTGGCTTAATCTTACGTCTGAACCCTCCCCCCCCCCCTTATTAGCCATCGAGCCTTCAGGTCATGGCCAGTTTTCGCGACATAAACCACTTACGATGATGTACGGTAATTTTCAATGTTGTTCTCGCCTTTTACAGATCACCGAGGACCCATTTTTGAAGCATTTGAAATTGCTCAACGCAGAAGAGGATCTCTTGACTGTATGCGCCTCTCCTTCATCTACACCTTCGCGTAATGGTTCAACAGATGGTCGACCTCGTATCCAGCCAAAGCCTGATGGATTTAACGAATCTAGTGAGTTGGCTTTTCCTCTAAAGCCTATGCAAATCTGTGTTCTGTGCATCAGGCCTAAGGACGTGTTGATCCCTTTCTTCTTTGTGTGTCTAAAGTGAACTATGATAGCCTAGAGCCAACATTTACATATATTTTTGAAATAGACAATTTCTTATACTGCGTGCACCTTCTGCCTACCTGTAGATTGAAAATTTTTAAGTTTCTCTAAAGGTGCGCGAATGTCATAGTCATCATGTAATTGAATTTGTGATTTGGGTCTAATGTTGTTATTAATTACTAAAGTAGAAAAGTAAAAATGGCATTATGGTTATGCAGCTTTGAAATTTGTTCGGCATTTTTTTGGTGCAGCTAACATCCCCATATTCGCTGCAATTTTATATCTTGTAATTTCGGTGTGATTAGCTGATTCGTTGAAGGCTCGTATCGACATATTTTTCATTGGCCGCCATTACTGTCTTTGACTGTTAGAATCAGATATGTGTGCAGTGCCCAGATCAACACTGGAGCGTTTAGTCAAAGTCTTTCAAATTACTTCATTGGCCGGTGAATCGATGCGATCCCGGCAGGAGTCTGAACTCATCCTTCCTACGGACAGATTTGCTGTCTTTGGTTGTGAAGGCACCAGGCAGCAGCAGTCACACCAGCAACTTCCCATCTTCGTTGCTCCCGCTCCTTCCACCAACATGACGCCTCTCATCGTCTACATCGATAGCGTGCTCCAGCTTCATCGGCAGCTTCTCTCGTGCCTTGCAGTGTGTCCCGAAATGCCGCAGTACCAAACCTCGGGTACTTCCACTCCCCAATCCAAAAAGTTGAAGTCTCCCCTTGCTCCTCCTCCGGCTCCCCCATCCACTACCAAACACTCCACACAGCGGAAAGGTAAACATTCAAAGTCACCTGTACCTCCACCACCCCCTGCATTTGAAGATCTTCCCATCCGTCCACACGACCCGGTTGTGAGTAAACGCTCTAAGCACCGAAAACACCGACAAGGCAGCCATTCCGATGAGACCGTAAGCTCAGAATTCAGTGAGGTGAAAAAGAAGAGAAAACACAGAGACTCGACTTCGCCATCAGGACAGATGCCTGAGCCTTCTCCCCGCACGCGTGGAAAACATAAATTGGAGGACGAGCGACCAATGAAGTACAAATCACGCAG